ATAAAAATAAAAATAAAAATAAAAATAAAAATAAAAATAAAAATAAATTGGTAGAATACAAAAGAATAGGCATTTTATTTAATATATTTCTTGTTTGAGGAAGATCTTCCCCATATTTATGTATATTTCAAATTGCTACTGAAACCTCACCTTTTTTAGTAAGATAACTCCTTCCTGAGTTTCCCTGTCAGTAATGATGCCAAAAACATCTGAACTGTCTCCTTCAATGAAATAGTTCATGGCTGCATTCTCCCCTATGTCGCTGTCTTCTGCCAGGAGTCTGCCTACAGTAGTGCCCACAGGAGCTTCCTCAGAGACATTCAAATAGTAGAGTCCTAAGGAAAAAATACTGACACAGCTCAGTGATCCATCATGGTTAATAGCTACTGAGGCTATGATAGCCTGGGGCTCATAGAGAACTGGGGAAAGTCCTCAGCTTTTACTAGAGCAATGTACCTAATCCAACAATGGATGGACCCCACAGGCAAGGTGAGACAGACTTTCATCCTACTAGTCTTTCTCTCTGAGTTCCATTTTAGTTGTAAATAAAAGGCTTAGGAGAATCAGCTATAGCAAGTTGAAAAAACAGCTACATTTTATTAGTTTCTCCCACTAGCCCATTTAAATGACTGCAAGAAACTACCTGGACAGACAGTCACATCATTTGTCAAAAAGGTTACTGTATCTGCTAGGAAAAATAACTAAATAAATAAATAAAAATGAAGAGAGTAGAGAACGAAAGTTCTTGAAAATTGTACTTAGAATCCTGTTGCTGAGATATTAAGCATAGGTAGGGAAATTATATGGAAAACAGATTAGTAAGTAAGTAATTTGTCTCCAAAGCCTCATGAAAAATACAGCAAAGCCTAAAGTCTTTTGATAGTGATGGGTTTTCTGTTTCTTTGTCGTTGGTGTTTGATTATTTTTTGTCCAGTTGTTTTTTGTTTGTTTGCTTTTTAAATCTTTAATGCTGAAATCAAAGCACAGACTTGTGCAGAGAACATTTATAATTTAACTTAATAAGGCTATGGTAGATCTAAATTTTCCCATGTCTTCAACTATTGTAGCCTACACTCACTCTGCTGAAATTTGGGTGGATTATCATTGACGTCAGAGAGGTTGATGGTAACAGTGGCCGTTGTTGAAAATGCTCCTGCTTGTCCAACCATATCTTTGGCCTGGATGACAACCAAATACTGATCTTTTGTTTCTCTGTCCATTTGGGAAGCCATTCTGATGACTCCTGAAAATGAAAAGTGTATTTTTAGGTCCCTAACATATAATACTCATGTTTTTCCCAAAGCTGTCCATATAATACAGGTTTAAAATCCACCTTTGAACACAGTCCAATTTTATATGGCCAATTCTAGGCTATGCTTATGGCAACATCTACAGAGTGTTTAAGATTCATTCTGTATGCTTAGAATTCAAGGGAACAGAACACACCATATATCTTATATATCATATGTAAGCATCTTTCTTTCCCAGAAATCACAATTTTGAAGGGAATAGCTGTGATTCCTCCAACACAGAGGTAGAAACAGTCATATAGTGAATCTTGGATCTGTTAACCCAGAAGTTTTTCTGGGTTGACTTGTTGGATGAGGTATTCAGAATCCAGCTCTTTTCTTTAGCAAGGTAATTTCCTAACTTTAGTTTATTAGGAATTATAGAAATTTATTGTTGATTCTCTAAAGAGATATAAATATTGTCAGCTTCCTTTGGGAAATGAAGTACTCATTTTTTTTAAGTGTAGGACTTATGCAAAGATGTAAAAACAAGGTGGTATCAGTTGATATTTTTGCTGAAATGAGGAAAGAAATTCTGGCTTTCATCCATTTTATGTTAGTTTATGATTTCTTGAGGTGACAAGATCATTCTCTATTACCTGTCTTTGGCTCCACAGAGAAATAAGGCTGACCCTGAATGAGACTGTAAAGAAGCCGGGCATTATTCCCATAAGAAGGATCATCACCATCTGTAGCTGTTACCTGTGTAACAGAAGTACCTCAAATAAAAATAAAATATAAAAAAAAAAAAAAGAGAATAGATTATTATCCATGTAAAAAGCACAGCAGAATCAATCTGCAAAGACTTCATCTTTGACAGAAAGCTGGCTATATCCTATACACAAGAATGAGAATGAACTTATGGTGTCTTTAAGAATGACTACCTTTCAAAAGCAAACATTCATTGTACTGTCACTTAAGGTAACCTTTATTTTTATCTCTTTTTTCGTCACATAACTCCTGCACAAGAACACAGATAATCAGTTATAATCATCAAACCAGAGAATGGCTTGAGCTGGAAAGGATCTCAAAGATCTCTAAATTCCAACCCCAGTGCCACAGACACAAGTGCCAGCTGCTGAATCAAGTACTAGATCAGATTGCCAAGTGTCCTGTCCAAACTAGCCTTAAACACCTTCTGGTATGGGGTACTCACAACATCTCTGGGCAACATGTTCCAGCACCTCACCACTTCTCAGTAAAATTTTTCTTATCAGGAAAACAGGAAATCAAGCTTCTTTCCAAAAATTCTCTAGCAGTTATTCACATACTTGTGTCTGCTTATAGCTGCAATATAGCTTTAGTACATTTATGTTAGAGGAGAAAAGAAGAAATGATGGATTGCAAGGAAATAGATCTGAAGCACCTTTTTATGGCAAATTCATACTTAAATTTTTTTTTTACCAGTAAAACTTATATATTCAATTCTGAACTTACTATTATAGAATTGAATAAGATTTTCACATAGAAGGGTGTGCTGAACATGGCAAATGAAATGTTTTTATTATTTTCAAAAGTATTCATACTTTCCATTTACTATTAATTTAGTCAGCAGCATTCCAAGTGGCTCTATAGTGCATGCTAACTTCCCTCAGAGTGGAGATACACTAAGATGTTATTCATACCCTAAGATGTTCTTCATTACTAGCAACTTTTGGAGTAATATATCCTTCAAAATAGCTATAAAACCAAACTTCTAACATGCATGTATTAGCTGTGTGTCATATATATGTATATCACTCCCTCTTGCTTTGGGGAAACATTAAAATGTCAGACTGTTATTTAATTGAGAAACATACATACCTCAGAAATAGCAGTATTTTTTAACAAAACCAACAGATAAAGAAAATAGAAACACTCAGTTACACAGCTGTTACGTGGAAAACTATTCTAATACCGGAAATTCAATCTCTACAACATGTTAGCATGACTATAATGAAGTTGTTTTGAAAGACATGGATTGACAAGCACTGTGGATAATACAGTAAGTACAGCTTGTTATATAGCCTATAAATGCAGTTTTTTTCTGCTAAAGAAACCTTGGAACAAACGATTAAATTCAGAAATCTATGTATTTACAGCACCACATTTAATAAATTTTCTAATTTCTTAGAAAGATGGGACAAAATAAACAAAACTGATAAGTTTATAATAACAGCTGTTTGTACCTCAATCATTTAAAGATAGATTTACTTCCTATAGTTAGTATTCAAAGACAAGTTGAAACTAAAATGGTTTTTGCTGCTTCTGTGAACCCCAGACTACTGTTTTCTTGCCTATTAACTCTTTGATAGTATCACAGAAGGCAGAAGAATGGTATTTCCTCAGGAGGGCTCAGGGAGCAGGAGCGTAATGGAAAGGTGAAGCACGGAAGGGCTGTCTGGTAAAGAGGGAGCTGATCCGAAGGGAAGGAAGAAGATAGGTCTCCTGTATTAGGAGGAAGTTGATTGTAAAACTGGGGCTAAAAGAGTCCACACAAGTAGGGGCTATGATTTCTCGTATTGTTTGTGAACAAATACCTCATAATCAATACATAAAGATTTAAATATTGACTACGAACTGAGCATAAGGAAAATGTTATGCAAAGTTTGAAATTTTTTTCCCTAGTTTTTAATCTTTCACTACCATGAAGCCTGTATTGCTTTACGAAATTAACTCATATCAAACAAAGTCATTTGCTGAATGGAGCTACGTTTTTACACACACATTTGTGTATGGATGACAGAAATTAAGGAAGTAATATTATCTCCCAATAACCATGGATGGGAGAAAATGAATCAGAATAGATAATATATTGGGAAAAAAAAATCAGTTATCATTTTTTTATCTAAAAAATACAAAAGTCAACTCTTGACATTGAAGATACGAAATTATATAAATGAGAATCTAATTATGATAAATAATATGAAAATGGATATGATGCCATGGACATTAACTAAATATGCTTGAAAGTTTCCTAACATGCATTTTCTGAATATTTGGATATAACACTGGTATAAAGTTTAGCCCAAAATACATACTGTATGTACACATAAGTGTCTTAAGCTACATAGTAAATATATTTACACATTCTGCACTTTTCATTAGGATCTACCTGATGCAAGCAACATTTTTCCAATTGCTGTATAAGATTTTTCTTTCTATTCCTGAATCCTTGATTTTACTCCTTTTGCATAAAACATAATTTTGCCAATAATACATTGCAGCCTATTAGAAAAAAATTGAGGGTACTCATATAGAATCATAGAATCATGGAACGGTTTGGAATGAAAAGGACCTTTAAGATCATCTAGTTCCAACCCTCTGCTATAGGCTGGGACACAGTAGTTACTCATTTTTTGTAACTAGAGCTTGAAATCTCCCAAAACACTACGTACTGATTAGTGACTGCATCTGACTCAAGTGTTCCATCAGACATACTGCATTTGTACAATTTTAACAGCTATATGGGAGGCATTTAATGTAAAACTGTGCCAAACGCCTGAGGAAAACTGCAGATCTATACTCTCAGAAGGGAGTCCATTTGCTAACACACTGTTCATTTACAGTGACACCTGCATACAAAATCCTAATAAAATTTAGTGCTGAAGATAAAAGAGAGGTAAGAAAGAAGTAAAATGTATTCTAATTTGTTTTCTCTTGAGTACATGTACTGATATTTTTACGTAAATTTAGGTAAAATTATTTATGCCTGTTTTCTGTTTTTCTATGATTCTCTGAGGCAAGTAATACCCAATCAGCAGTGAATTATTTTCTCATTGCTTTCTTACTTCCAGACAAAATGCTCAGTATCTATGGACTGTTTTTCAAGTTTTGTCTATGTTTTCAAGTAAATGAGTAGAAGATTCCAGGTCAAGTACCACTGAGCTGAACAGCTGCTGGAGACCTCCACAATAGTGCAAAATCAAGGCTCAACAGAACTATGCAATTTAAACTCTTTCCAGTCTATGTGCTTGCTATGCAAAAGAAGATAACATTTTACTAGAAGAAAAGCAGTGACATAACTGTTGTAGTGACATAACAGGGCAAGGCTTTACTGAGCACGGGGAAGGGGAGATGTTGTAGTAGGCGCTAATGGGGCATTGGGATGTGACGCGATAGGACCTTCCCCTGCTCTGTGACAAAATTATGATGCATGCTTTAGGGGCGTAGACAAAGCACGTAGGATATATAAGCCGCTGTTTAGTTACAATAAACACCATTTGCTTCATCCTCCTATTGGTGTCTGTGTCACTATGGCCCTAGCGAGGGGAGATCTCTAGCCCCTGGCGGACTGGACCTTGGAGACGGGGACAACACGTAACAAGCCACTGTGATACTGATGATGCAAACTTGGTTGGTTATTGTTTCCATCTGTTTAGAAGTTAGAAATTTTCTTCTAAAGATTAATATCTTAGTATACACACCAAAACAGTTTCATTTCAGAAGTACAGCAACTGCCCTTGGAGAAGCAGGGAAACTGAGCTCAGAGAAGATTTCATGACATGCCTCGACATTTCCACATATTGGATGTGACCACTGTTAAGGTGCATACATCACTCTACCTATACTCTCTGCTCTTGCGAGACCCCATCTAGAGTACTGCATCCAGTTCTTAGGCCCCCAACACAAGAAGGACATGGAACTGTTGGATCAGGTCCAGAGGGGGGCCACAAAGATGATCAGAGGGCGGGAGCACCTTCCCTATTATGAGGACAGGCTAAGAGAACTGGGACTCTTCAGCCTGAAGAAGAGAAGGCTCCAAGCAGACATGATAGTGGCCTTCCAGTATCTGAAGGGGGCGTACAGGAAAGCTGGGGAGGGACTTCTTCTGAGTGCACATAGTGACAGGACAAGGTGAAATGGTTTTAAACTGGAAGATGGTAAACTAGATATTAGGAAGAAATTCTTTACTGTTAGGGTGGTGAGACATTGGAACAGGTTGCCCAGAGAGGCTGTGATTGCCCCCTCCCTTAAATCATTGAAGGCTAGGCTGAATGGGGCTTTGGGCAACCTGGTCTAGAGTGAGGAGTCCCTGCCTATAGCAGGAGGTTGGAACTAGATGATCTTAAAGGTCCCTTCCAATCCAAACTATTCTATGATTTAAGACGACAGATATGCCAATGACATTAATTCGTCACTGTGTTTGTTTAACCCGGGTAGGTTGCTGAATACCACACAGCTGCTTTCTCACTCCCCAGTCTCAAAGGAGCAAGGGAAGAAAATACAATTAAAAGAAGATCATGAGTTGAAATAAGGACAGGGAGATCACTCACTGTTTACCATCACAGGAAAAACAACTCTGGGTAGAGAGATTAATGTAAATTATTGCCTAGCAGACTAGAGGAGTGAGAAACTAAAAGCAAATTAAAAACATTCCCTACATCCACTTTCTTTTACCTTCTTTTTCCAGTTGGTGCAAATGGAGGCTGCAATCAGTCCATACATAACACTTTGTTTTTGTTGCTCCTCCATGATCACTCTGCCTCCTCTCTATGTGGGTCCCACTCAAAGCATGCCATCCCTCCTGAACTGATCCCATGTGGATTTCCCACAGTTCTTCCAGCATTTCTCCAACATGGCTCTGTAATACAGGGCCCACCCTTCAGGCATTGCTCCACCCTGGGTTATTCCTATGGGGGTGCCCACGAGCTGTGCTTCCCTCAGGCCTCATCCGCCTCTGCCCCATGGGCTCCTCCATGGCTGCACAAGCAGATCTGCTCCATGCAGCGCCCATGGGCTGGAATGGGACAGCCTGCTCCTCTGTGGGCTCCTAGGCTGCAGGGAGCTGCTACTGTGTGCCTGGAGCTCCTCTTGCCTTCCTTCTGCACTGATGTTGCCTGCAGGGCTGTTCTCTCATATCTCTCACCCTGTCTCCCAGCTGTTATAGCACAGCGGTTTTTCCCTTTCTGAAATCTGCTCTCCCAGAGCATACCCAGCATTGCTCACAGTTCAATTCTTGACAGTGCATCCCTTTTGGAGCAACTGGAGGTCTGATCTGAAATGGGGCAAATGAACCCTCCTTGGCTTCAAAGCTGCATAAATACAACAGGTATGTACTAGTATCTAGAAGGAAGAAGTAGATAAAAGAATAACCTTGGAAATAACTATGGTATTAGTGCTAGAGGCCAAACACAAAAGGAGTGTAGAAATTATTTCAGATTCCACAGGACTTAACTAAATTAATGCCATACAATGGTTGACTGAAAATCTGTGAGTTTCAGTACAGGTTTTGGGATACTGTAGGATGCTGTCTTATTTTTAACCCATTATGAGAAATTACGTAATATTACATTTCAGTTAAATCTTTGTAATAATCTTATAGAAATATTAAAAATAGAAAGGGCTTTGCAATTTCATTAGTCTTATGCTGAACTGACATAGTACTTGTATTTTAGGAATTTAAACATGTGGTAGATGATAGGAAATCAGCTAAATACTGCTGAACCTTCTATTTTTAGGTTTTCAGATTATAGGCAACTCAAGTCAATACAGACTGAGATGTTGTACCTGTCAACAGCTTATTGTTGATTTTAGGTGAAAAACAGAGGTGCACGTGAAAATATTACTGTTCTTTGCCAGGCATACCACCTTGATATACTTGTGTGAATAGTTACAGATCTGGGTGAATGTCAGTTGAGCCATATTAAAGTATCAACTACTTTAAAGACATTTTTATAAGAGACAGAATGTCTGATAAATAACTCATTATCACTTAAAAAAAAAAAAAAAAAAAAAAAAGGGAAAGAAATTGTTATCAGAATCTTAAAATCTGTGTAATCCCAGATAAAAACACCCAGCTAATTCTAGACTATAAACCATGTTTCTTAATATCATAGAATCATAGAATGTCTTGGGTTGGAAGAGACCTCAAGGATCATCAGGTTTCAATCTTACTGCCACAAGTAGGGTTGCCAGCCTCTAGATCAAGTACTGAATCAGATTGCCCAAGGTCCCATTCAATCCAGCCTTGAAAACTTTAGAAATGGGGCACCCACAACCTGTTCTGACATCTCACCACTCATAGTAAAAAACTTCTCCCTGACATCTAATCTAAATTTCCTTTCCTTTAGTTTAAAACCATTCTCCCTTGTCCCATCTCTATCTACCCATGTAAAAAGTTGATTTCCCTCATGTTTATAAATACCCTTTAAATGTCACGATGAGGTCTCCCCACAACCTTTTCCGAGCTGAACAAGCCTGGTTCCTGCAGCATATCTTCATAGGAGAGGTGCTCCAGCCCTCTAATGGTCTTTGTGGCCCTCCTCCGGACCCTCTCCAAAAGGTCTACATCTTCCCTTGGAGGCATTCAAGAAATGTAGAAATGTGACACTGAGGGACGTGATCAGTGGGCAGCACTGGTGGTAGGTAGACAGTTGGATTAGATCTTAGAGATCTTTTCTAACCTTAATGATTCAATGGTTCTATGGTTGGAGGCCTCAGAGTTGGGCAAAGTACTCCAGCTGGGACTTCACAAGGGCAGAATAGAGGGGGGTTGTCACCTTCCTTGCTGTGCTGGCCACCTCTCTTCCAATGGAACCCAGGATATCATTGGCCTTCCAGACTGCAAGCAGATGGTGCTGGCTCATTTTTTTCATGTACCAGGACCCCTAAGTCCTTCTCAGCAGGGATGGTCTCAAGAAGCTCTTTTCTCAGTTCACATACATATCTGGGATTATCTTGAATCAAGCTGAAAACCTTGCACTCTGCTTTCTTGAACCTCATTAATTCACAAGGGCCAAACTTTAAAGTTTATCAACTTCCTTCTGGATGCATACGTTCCTTTTGCTGTATCAACTACACTTCTCAGTTTGGTGTCATCAGCAAACTGCTGAGGGTACAATTTTATTGTGAGCGCATAAAAAAACTGCAAAGAATTCTGACAAAATGTCCATCTTCTCGCCTCTAAACTTGAGGCAAAAAGGCCACAAGTGCCCTCTGAACCACTAACAAGTCATTTTAGAAAATTATTTTAGTAAGAGCTCAAATGCAGATGTCATGAGAAAAAAACTATTCTGCCTGAATGGAAGAAAGTAGCAGTGAAGAAACAATGTAACAAGTAGTACATTGTGTAAAGCAGGGTTACCAGGAAATAAGTTGATTAAATGGACATCTTTTGCAAATATTGCAGGTAGTAAATGTGAACTACTGCTTTACAGCAGGAATTAGGACATTAACCTCTCTTTTAATTAAACTCCAAAAGTGAGTATGTCTGGCTTGCAAAAGCTATCCAGAATGACAGAAGATGATTAAATTTACAGCTCCTTGTGAAAGATTCACTCAAACTATCGTAAAAGTTGGATAATGCTGAATGAAACATGTTTTGTTACCCAATGCTATTAAGTTAATGTGCTCATTAATTCATACAATTTCAAGTAACACAATATTAAATTTTCTTTTCATAGAAATAACCAAGAGATAAAAGTAGGAATTTAAAAGATTATTTCAGTAAGTTTGAAGAAGACAGTTATTGGGACAGTTATATAATAATCTACTTGTTTATGTCAGCTGCTTTCACACAAGTTTCCAGATAGATACTCCAGATCTTTTTGACATGGAGATAATGTCTTTTGACATGTAAGATAATGTCTTCCACACATGTAGATGTGTGGAAGAACTGATCCAGAGTTTAAGTCATTGTTTTTGACATCATGATTTCAATTATTTTTTCTCATGAACTTGAAATACTACTAAATTGTCCATCATCTAATCCAAACAAAGGGAAGCTTACCAATTGGGATAGAGGCTTGGCTGTGGAAATAGGTAGGCATCATACATGATACGAGGAAGGTCATCACATCAGCCCACTTCATTCCTGTTCTGAACTCATTACTTACAGGAAGGAAACTATCCCTATATTTGGGGGAAAATCATGAGTGCTTTGATGTAAATTTGACTCTTCTCCAGTTACAATACAGTATGATTTATATTACACAGAATATAATAAAGGTCTACTGTTTAATTGGCAAGCAAAATCAGAAGAGACTGAAGAAGGCTGCTGAGTACATTTTAGTTCATCTGAGCTTATATTTATGTGCTTAAAGAGTCAAGCAAGGTCAGTGGCCATTAAAGTTTAAGTGTATGCTATTTTTCCATCACATTGGTAGAAGCCTGAAGAGCTGACAGGTTGTAACAATAGTCATACACTGAACAATTCTACAGACACTAGGGTGCTATCTTGATTAAAAAAGCAGTGAAATCTGTCTGACTAAAATCTTCCCTGCCGTACAAACTTGTTACAGTATTCTACCTATTCTGAAGTGTGATGATGTTTTTTTGTTTTTTTTGTTTTCCTTTTTTTTGATTAAGTATTTGTTTCAAGGCTGAGTCATTATAGAAAAAGCAGGTTTCTATATTCAACACAAATATGAATCCGAAATCTGTAAAACAACTCTGAAACATGCAGGTACCTGAACATTTAAAGGCAGCTATGTTAATAGGAATTATTCACAAAATTCAGTTTAAACATATATCTCCTTAAATTTGCAATGTTATAAAATATCATGGCTTCCTTCTCACTGAAAAGTTGTCTATGGAATATTCTATTAAGATTTTAAATGAATATAGGATTGAAATAATAATAATCAGGAAATAAAATTTTAGTTTATAGCATGCCATACCTTCAGGTGACATCTCTGGAACAGTAGCCACATAAGGTCCATCTAAGAATTGTGGTTCATGATCATTGATATCTCGAACTTTGATAATAAATTCTGAATCGGGTTCAATAGGAAGATGAGTTTTCCTATCGATTACTTGTGCTCTAAGAATGTAGAAGGATTTCTTTTCTCTATCCAGCTTTTGTCTCACGTAAATTTTGCCATGTTCATTGATGAAAAAAATGCTGTCAGCTCCCTCCCCAGACAAAATATATTGTAGGCTGCCATCCTCCTTGTCTAAATCTGATTTCAGCTGTAAGTGAAAAGCAGAAAAAATATTATTATTATTTAATTCCCACATTCAGGTGGAAATAAAATTTGGAATATCAGTTTTCAGTTTTTTATGTTCTTGCTCTGCAGTGGACCCCCTCACTAGTGGACCTTCTTGGAAACTAATATTTGAAAGGGGGCATTGTCACATTTTTACCCAGTTGTGTCTCAGTTTTAAAATACTGATATAGCTGACATATAAACATATGGTAAACCTGAAAAAGGTGCTTCAGCCACTTTGGAGAGAAATGAATTAATGTTACGTATACGCCTTAGCTCAATGCTTTATCAGCTTATGCTGAGAACAGTGCAAAGGTCCTTAAAAAATTATCTAAATTCTTTGTTATTACAAATGTTAAGTGTGTCTTACGATTATTACAGAAATATATATATATATATATAATTTTTATGCTCAGCAATACGAAGTGTAATCATCACGGAGATTGGTGTTCCAATTTTACTGTAATATTAAAAAGATGAAAAGCCATTCTGAGGTATAGGTCTGTATTATTTATTCTGAAATAAATTGACAGACATTTTCCATTTCCGTCCAGGATGATCTGCATCCTCTCTTATCTTGATAAGATGAACTTTATGATGATGATTCCTTCGATGAAGCTGAGCCCTGGAGACTAGTGTGATCCAGCTGCATTTTTTTACATCAATAAAATATTAATGTTAACGATATGCAACAGCACTTCTGTGATGGCAGGGACTGAAACACTTAGCGTGCCAGTCACCTGCAGTTGATAATTTTCCCAACATCATTTTCCACCATATCATTATTTCCCTATTTCTTTCTTGTTTTGATTTGTTGTTGTTGTTGTTTTGTTTGTTTGTTTTTAAATTTATTTTGGGTTTTGAACAAAACGTCAAAATATTTAAGAGCAAGGATAAGTACTGAATAATTCAATGTTATATATGTATATAAATATATTCAACTTGCTTCTCCTACAAAGTAGTGTGTTTTAAAAGTAAATTACATGTCTAGCTGTTCATTTAAATAACAATCCTGTTTTGCTTCATTCTTACTTTCTTATTAAACCTACAGCTCAGTGTAGACCACACTTTAGAAAAGAAATAACTGTGGCACACTTCTCTATCAGATCTACTGAAAATGTTTTGTGATAACTGCTGATGTTGTAAAAGTTTCTGCTTTTCTTTGGAAGCTGTATTTTGAATTGTATATTTGTTCAATTTTATGCATTAAGTTGACAGTTCATCTAAAATGAGTCCAGGACACTGCTCTGAGATATGAGGGACACAGTGCAGAGTTCCTGTATTGAGTCTTGTCTAAGTATTCAAGCCCTAAATTTTCAGTTGATTTCCCTTAAAAACATGAAATATCATTTTTAGGGTTATGATGTTTAAATTCTTTAACATAAAAACATCTTAAACTCTAAAGTTTTCAATTTATGTAGTTTGTTCAAAACATGGGGCGGGTTCGCATTTATGTGGTGAACCCAGGAGGCAGGATCTCTCTATGAGTAGTCTGGTCCCACTTGCTAAATTTGAACAGCCATCTGAATGGCTGCATAAGGAGTTATAATATGGAATAACAATTAACAGAGACTGTCTACCACTATCATTTTGTTCACAGAGTTTCTTCTGGTCTTTATTTACTAAAAAGTCATTAGTTGATCATAGATTTTCACTTTATTTACAGAAAACAGAGTTACAGAGTTACAGAGTTTATTGTACTCATCAGAAAGCCACAAGTAAATGTCTGATCTACAGAGCAGTTAAACTGCATTAAATTAACAATAGTTCTCAATTAAAATTCCCCACAGTTTACCTGTGTAAAATAAAAACACAATATTATTAAAGTTGTCCAGAGCTGAAAATATATTATATTTATGAAGTTTCTTTCATGGGAGACTGTTTTTCCCAGCTACAGGAAAAGTAATAAAGATTAAAAAATGAGTATTTCTATACCTGTTCTTCTAGAAGTAAGACATTGCACTTCTGTAGCAGTTACTTTGGAGAGGCTGAGAGAAAGTAATTGATGAATTTTGAGCACTTCACCCTTTGGGCCCAATTAAATTCTAGTGCTAGTTAATTAGCAGTTAAACTTACTTTGGTTCATTCATCTAGAATTTACCTTAAAGAAATGAAACTAGATCTCAAGATTACAATTACTTCTAGCTTGCAAAAATAAATAATAATAATAAATAATAATATGAAAGTGAGCAAAAAGGGAAAATAAGGAGGAGATAAAGTCTCATTAAAACAATTATCTTAAAGAACATTTTTAAAGGAGGGTGAAAAGTAATTGCTCGTTGTACAAAAGCTACGTTAACCTAATGAACCATGCAGATTCCTGGAGTTTCTCAGTGGTAAAAGGATTTAGTATTAATCTGGTTCATTAAAAATTAATGAGGGATGAATCAGCTGCTACTTAGTGTAATAGAAGAACATTCTAAGTACTGTTTGTGAACTACACTGCAATCAGTATAGCTGCTTTGATGCAGTGCCAAAAATAGCACAAGCAAATTGCTAGATGTTGATAAACGATTCTTTAACTTTCATTCAGAAGACAGGGTGTTTTCATTTTAGTATCTCTGTCTACTGTGTGCAGTTTTAGTTTCAGTAACTGAGTGAGCATTGTTTTTCCTTGATTGTGGAGCCAGATGACAGAAGGCATTTGACTACTACCATGACCTCTAGTGCCAGTAGTTCTTTGATCCCAAATCAGATCACAGTAATGCTGAGATGTTGTGCTGCCCAATAACAGCTACCTTAGGTCATCTTCCTTTTTCTTGATATTTCCTGGTCAGATGGTAATCAGTATGTTAGATATAACCTTGTATCATCCTGTCATTATGACTTGTCATACCTGTCCAACATACATAGGCATCGTTGAGGTCTCTTCCTCAGTTACAAAAAGTGGCTCCCATATCCAGTCACGCTTCACTCTTTGAATTGTTGTGTAAGATTGATCTGTGTTTTGAGCACTGAAGTTCTGTGTGGTTGGAGAACAAAATCGAAGTAGAACCAGTGCCAGCACAAGAGAGGGAAAAGTGGAGCAATTCATGCTGAGATCTCTTTTCAAGCAATTTTTATCTGTGGAAAAGGAAAAAAAAAAGAAAAAAGAAAAATCTTTGGCAAAGCATCAAATTTATCTTCCCACTTTTACTTATATATTCTGTGCTAATGTAAGAGCTGATTTGCAATCTTAAAACCTCCTCCCCTCCCAGAAAGGAAAGAGCTGAAACAAAGTCTGCTTCTGATTAAATTGGGGATTCCTTAAGATGCCCTGACATGAACATCAAGTTCCCTTTATGAATATCCTACACAGGGACGTTTTAAGCAAAAAACATCCTCCAATTAATTCATCTTCCAAATTGAACTGGGCAACTGAATTGTAGGCCAGGAATAATTTGATTGGAATAATTGTATGTTTCTGCTTAGACAAAGCTCATTTTGAACTGCAGTCACAGTACTGCCTGAAGGTTGTAGAGTACTTTGTTTTGTTCTCAATTGCCTCCGAGTTTAAACCTAACACCATTTGAAACTTAGATATCAATTTCAGGTGACCTGGTAGTCTGATATTATAAAATACATTATAATATGTATATATCATATATTATATATTACATATTATATTATGTATATTATATATTATATTATGTATATTATGTATATAATATATACATTTATATATAATAAATTAATAATATATAATAATTTATTATAAATTCTGACAAGTTCAGTACATTATAAAATAGTACCTTTTGCTGCCTAACAGTTTGTGATTAATAATAGGTAGAGTAAGATATTTAAAAAATTGGCTTCTGGAATTTAGTGAAGTAAATGTTGCGTTGATGGAAAAAATAAAATACTAAGGAAAGGCAAAACAGCAGTGTTATGAAGTATTTATCTATATATGGACAGAGATGATGAGCATAGTTCCTGTTCCAGTTTACATATCTGAAAAATAAGGACAAAGACACAATTTTGTAACAAATTAATAATAACAAGAACACAAAAACTTGAAATAAGCAAAGTCTTACAATTAGGAGTTGCAACACGCCGAAACATGATAGGTAAGAAACATGAAGGTAGATACTTCTTAAATAGGGGCCCTTAGGACCACTTCATGTATTTACTTGATTTTTTTTTTTTATTGCAGGATATATTTTCAAAATATTTTCTTGAGGAAAACAGTTATCTCTGTCCTTTAAAATACTATGCAGAAAAGAGAAATACCAAAAAGAAATTCCTTTGGTGTAATTAGGTGATGTCTTTGCTTGTGTTTATAGAATCAAGCAAACAATAACAGAAAAGTAGCGTAATTCATGTGAGCTCATCAAATTCATTAAAGGGAATCTTCCGAAATACATTTTTTATCTCAAGCAGAGGCCTAAACATGATGATGTGAGTTTTGATTTGTGTGCAAGTGTTATTATAGTTGTCATGAAATTTGTCTCCCTTGTAAGCTCTTATCTATAATCTTCCCTTAAGTTAAAGAAACTGTATTTGTAACTAACAGCAATGCATTATTGAGCGTTAGAAAAAGATTGGTTAAACAGCAGCATTCCTATTTTCAACTATACATACGTTCATTTGTAGTATATCTACTATTTGTCCCACTTTATTTTATGTGACTGATAACTAGTAATACTAGTGGGTTACAGTGCAGCTTCTTTATATCTCTTCAAGAAAAGGTTGCATGTGAACTCATTTTTACTGCCAGTTCAGGCTCTACCCAATGTGATAGACACTTGGTTACACTTATAACACACAGTGAAATAGTTGTATGCATGTAGGTATCTATATTATGTATATATGCATATTCATGTATTATGTACATATAGCATATTCAATTATTGAGTGTGAATCTTTGTGGGTTTTTGTTTGCTGTTTTTTGATCCTGATACTTAAAAGTTACTTATTGTTTGATTTTTAAAAAAGGAAAGAACAGTGGTAAAATATTCCTATATTTGCATAAAAGTGGACTTAGTACTATTCTTGCAACTTTTTACAGTTGCAGAATTTCACATGACTTTGGGCTACTACATCTAAAAAATATGCTAAATGTAATTATACCCTGGTTACTAGAGCTATCATCTAAAATGTAATACCTTCAGTTAATTAATTAGAAATATATCAACAATAACCTTGCTAGTCTAATGCATGCCTAGCTATTTTAAAAGCTATTACTTGTCCTTGAGAAGTGTCCTCTTTAACATGTCATGATATGACACTTAACTAAATCATATTGGCTTGTATTGCATATTAACACATTAACAGCTTCATGTGTCTCTAATAGTCACCCAGCACTTCACTTACATGGAAAAAAATTACTTAGATGTTATGAATGTGACATGAATTTCATTTTATTCTAACTGGGTCATTATTTTCTTCATTTTGTAAATATGCTTTTGTACCATTAGGGAAAGACTTCAAACTGTTACATAGAATTGCCACAGTAATTATCTGTCAGTTATACGTGAACAAAATAGCTTTAGAAAAATTGATTGTTTAGTTGATTAGTGCCTTTACATCTGTGTATTTTAATCAATGTAGAGCTGACTGACTAGAAATCCAGCTATTGCTATTGTTTTATAATGGTGTACTGATTATTATTTTAGGCAGTACATTAACACATATCAACAGATTTCAGCATTTTACTATGTATATACTGCAGTATGTAAAAATCTCAAATGCCATTTCAGATTACAAAACCTGAGCTTTCAAATCCTGGCAAGCTGTTGGCAGAAATCTATAGATACTAAAGAGATTAAACATCTTTTAAAGTGTCAGACTGTGATATTTATTTCTCAAATGCTATCTCTAATATTAAAAGCATCTAGAAATATAGAGAAAGGTAGGATATTCATTTTTAATGAGAGGAAAGGTCAAAGTTGAACAATAAGATTTTCTACACTGACTGAATACTGCAAGTTGGATAGCCCTATTCAGCCCACAAGCTAAAGGGTATAAGACAGGATGGAAAGACATATTCTGTTCTACAGTCTTAGGCTACAATGTATCTTTGATTCTCATTCTGTCACTGAAACTATACTAATCATCAAAAGACATAAGTAAATGAATGTGGAGAAATACAACCAGACTTCTTTCTGAATTTAAACTAGTGATTATTCATCCTCACATAACATGTTCCGTCTGATTTTTGTCACACGCAGCTGGCTACATAATACTTATTTGCTAGTGACTATGAACACACAAGATGAGACAGCCATCTTTTGCCCTTTTAAGTCTTGGTCCACCAGCATTTTCAGAACTGAGCAATTGATCTGCAGTTGACCAGATATGTATGCATCTGGATCGAGTCCAGTATTTCTAGGTCTGGTTAAACAAGCCTATTTGTCTTCCTTCAGGGTGACTGCTGTGTGCAGAGTCCAAGAATTTTGGAAACATGAAATGATTATTTCACTCGCTTCTGTCAGTAGTACTACACGGATATGAACGTGTAGCTTCAAATACTTCAGTTGGAGAAAGAGAACTAATTTTTTTCAGTAGCAGTTCTTTGGAGTTACTTTACAGCTAGTAGCAACATCTATCCCCAAAGTCTCTGGGGGCAAAGAGAGCATTACCCACACCATTCCCTTCAACAGAGCATAGCTCTTTCAGTTGGGACAAATTTCAGATTGCAGGACTCGGTCAGATTACTTTCATTCAGTGGAAGTGACATTTTGGAGTCCCAGTTAAGATACAGTTGGATTCTGTAAGATTTTTCATGTTTTTCAGATGGAATCCTGAGAATATTAAAATTAAATCTGGAACATCAGAAAGGAATAAAGAAAACTTAAAAGAGTCTTTCGGAGTTTACTCAAATACTTAAGTGGTATCATGGATAATGTCATGCTGACATACACAAAGAAACTCCCACAGATTCTCTGTTGGTGATTAATCCTTTAAAATTTATCCAAAGTTATTGCAGCATCTTCTCTCCTTGTGAAAGCAAAACTTCTAAACATGCTATTAATTAAATAGAAGTTGGTGAAAATTTCATAAACATGAGGTATAGATATTCCTACTTCATTTTTTCTCCCTATTTATTGCAATAAATAAAATGGGAATATCTGTGTCATGTTGTCTAAATACTGATGAATTATCGTATTTTGTTCTATTTTGTTTTTAAGAATGTTGAAAGAATGCAGCTTTCCTCAGAAAAGTTAAGTAATATGAAGAGTATGAAGAGCAGAATCTGTCCTCCTTTAAACAGAGGAAATAAACAGAATAATATTTACACTTTTCAGAATCAGGATAAATTCAGATGGAAATGAATTAACTGAGAAACTTGCTAAAATGATATTGTTCTTTCTTGGGTTTTGTTCTGTTTGTATAGGTTTTAGATGATGAATCTTCTATAACCAGCAGATTTGAAAATTGTGCAGGTATTTTCCCATGTAGTTCTTTAATGGAATAATGCTTCATGAGATTCACACCAACACATATTAAAAAAAAATTCCTAAAAAGAGATTGCTTTTTTTTTTGTCTATTGATATTTCACACTGCAAAAAGTAATGATTTTTTAAACTATATTTAAAAGTTATTCCACGGATGTGAGTTACTCCTCTGATAACACGGAGATTTAATTTTGATCATTACTTCTAAAAAAGGAATGTCTGCTTTTCCATAAAATGAAGTCTCATTTTCTTGCTAGCTACTTAGTACATGTAATCTACGTCTTCCTGTAAACTGAGGGAAAAAAAGTACCATTTATGCTTGTGCAATCATTCAACATGGTTAATGCCTTACTTGGGATTGAATTAAAATATCTTCAGACATTCTCATTAATTAAAATATCTTTTATAAAACCCATTAATCAGAAAGTCAGGAATACAGCTAGTAATTTTTGTTGAAACTTGCAATTCTGATAGTCATTGTTTGGGTTGTACTGTTTTGTTGCATTCTTTTTTTATTGGAGAGTTTAAAAATTATCAAAGACTTCAAGAGCACCACGAACATTCTGCTGATATTATTTAAGCTAATTATTGTTATTAGTTGACAAGGTTACTTATCTTCTGCACTAATACTCTTTGTAGAAAAGAGCTGGGCACACAAGATAGCAAAATATTCTTTTTTTTCACCAT